TTTTGACTTCTCAGAGCAAATTAAATTACCGAGCGTGTAGCTCAGAAAGACAGCTGGTGATCACGGCATGTAGCTGAAGGCGTGCAGAGCACATGGCGTCTATTATACTACAGCAGCACTTCCCAGAGTCAGATCAGCTACTGTGAAATGCTGCTCTTGTCATTTGCTGGTTTAACACAGTCTGAAATATTTTACAGTGCTCAACATCTCAAGGCGGTAGTATTATAAAGTAACTTTATACGAATACACTTAAAGCCCCGTGGAGCAAAATGTTATTAAATTGTTCTGTGCCTTTGTTGTAATGCACTGATTCCTTTAGAGTGTGTCTCCACTGTGAAGCCTTTGTGCGAACACAGTGAAATCAGTGCTCTTGCTGCAGTGTACTCGGTGTGAAAGTGTTGCCAGGCATCAATTTGTTAGAGATGCAAATGTCACCAGTGCACCGCCAAGGCCGCGCTCATACCCTAATCTTGTTTTGTCCTCATCCAAATTTGATCGGCCTTGATGAGAACTATCTCGCAAACACAACGCGAATGTATGCGCGCACGCCTACTTTAAAGTTCAAATTTCGCATTTTTAGTTGTCCTGAGGATTTTCTTCAACGTGTTAAATCCAATTAGCCACCCTCTGCTTGTTCCTGCCACTCTTATCAGTCCCAGTCCTTCTGTAGACTCACATAGGATTTATTAAAAATTTAAGACCTCCTCTTTTAGGCAGATAATATATTGGAAACCCTGCAGCATCAACATAAAGCTGTTTAATAATTCATTTGTGTAGCTTGGGGAAGACACAATATGGACTGTGGCACTTCAGCTTTGTATTGCTGTGACATTTTTACAGAGCCAAACTGTGCAATAAATCTTTCGACCAGAAGCTGACGCATTGCAGCTTTGAATGACATAAAATCATATGGATACTGAAAGATTGGTAATAAAGTTGACAGGGTGAAGTGTATTTAATTGTTTTGGATTGACCAATCTCTAAGCCCTGCCACTCTTGCAGAAGCGCCATGTGACAGGATTTCTATTTTAACACCGTG